TCTCTCTCTCTCTCTCTCTCTCTCGTAGTCTTCTTGTTGCAGGTGCGCGGCGTCTTCTTCCACCTCGAGGTCCGCTATGGCGGACTGCCTCCTCCGGCGGCACTTCAGCTATGGCCGATCGGCCCTGCACACATCGCGCGCATGGGACAGCGGGTACCTGCTCCGATACCAGTGCAATCAGACTCGACTTCTTCACACTGGCGATGGCGACTGAGCGCCCACACAACTCACTGTTCGCACTCTGGATCACCCTGGATGTCCCACACGCAACACTCTACACGCAACACACACACACACACTTACACGCTACTATAGCTATGGCAGCTATGGCTGCCACTATCCTATCGCTACACTACACTTCACTACCCTCTTCGTCTTCGGGCACACTGCAGACCTCCTCGCACAAGCTGCTGAGGCAGCGCTTCCGCATGGCATCCGCAGGAATGAATGAATGGCTGGACGCAGCCTCTTGATTTATACTTCTGTGCGGCGTTGGTCTGCCCTGTATCCCTTGGCCCACGATGTGCACAGTCCCAGACGGTACTTGCTTGACTGGACCGGACTGGGCTACCTGGGACTGCTGACTCTACGTAGTGGACCTACACCACTTGCCCACTTGCCTCGGCCTAAACAGGGGATGACTCCGAAAGGCCAGTTCTAGAAACTTCTACTGTGGCCTTTCAGTACTGTAGCAGCTACGACTTTGCCCTTTCAGGTACTTAGCAGCTACGACCTTGACCCTTCAGACATCCTACAGCTACGACTTCGGAACTGTCTAGACTCCTACCCTACAGGTCTACAGTTCGATTCCCTTCTAAGCTGTGACCTACGACAATCTACCTACCACTGGCGTTTCGACAGGTCGCAGGTTCAAATCTACGGGTTGTCATCAATACTGTGCACAGGTAAGATGGGGAACTAGGGATCGAGCCCTGGGATCTGCATTTGCTACTGCGAACTGGTGAATACCGTTTCACATATTCAAAAGCTCTTAGTACCGCACATATATGGTAGGTGTCCCCCACAGGGAACACAAAAGGCTCCAGAATCACTCAGCTGAAACCGGGTAAAGGCCCCGGTGCCGGTGTACTTCTCTTCGTAATTGGGCAGCTGGACCCATTTTCCAGCCAATAGATGGAGCCCCCCAGGGACGGTACTGCTGGGAGCAGCTCTTATCACCCCCAGCAATATCCTCCCCCCAGGGGCTTAAAAAAGAAAGAAAGAAAAAAAAAGAAAGACCTCAACGTAGGGTAAGGTGAACTGGTGGTTTAAGTATCCTACGATCCATGTTGAAGACATCTGGATCTTATATATTCAAAAGCGTAATGGGATGGGAAGCTTTGGAGGGCGTCTTTGGAAGTTCGTGTCAAGTCCCTACCGTCTTCACCCAAATAGAATACCCCGTCATTATAGCCCTACTTGCGCCAACTTTCAGTCTAGACTCTAGATACAGCGATTATGACTGGGTGTTTTATTCGGGCGAAGAACGTAACCTGGGGGAAACCATGTCTTGGCGTGAAGCTGGAACACTGAGGGTTGTATCACTCACACATAGAGCCAGCAACTGCGCACGCACACGCACACACACACACACACACACACACACACACACACACACACACACACACACGCACACATACAATCATTCTTATGTATATTTTTTCTGTCCTTTCTTGTTTTTTATTTTTATTTTATTTTTTGTGTCCCAGCTGAGCACCCTTAAGCAGTGCCAAAAAGTCCGTCATTCCTCATTCGGAGTGCCTGAAACACTTTAGGGGGGCCTCTCAGTTCGGGTTGTCTGTGTCTCTTGGGGGTGATGACGGATGTTCATCTGAGTGACTCCCTGGCTCGCTGGGTGGTGGGAACGAACGGTCTGCGGGGTTCACTCGTGATGTGAGTAGGTGATGACATTGTGCCACTTTGTTCCGTGTTGGATCTGCAGACTGCCTTGTCTGCGCTCTGCCGCAGCCTTGCTGCTCGTTCCTCTTACTTCGCATGTCGTCCTCTCAGCTCTGCTTCCTTGCCGTTCATCCACGTCCTGGAGTCGTCTTTGGCGATAACATGCAGTAGAGCTGCTCCGGCAGCGTAGCCTGGTGCTTCGCTGACGTGTGGCTTGCTGCTATGTTTCGCTTGCGTGCCTTGCTGCTCTTCTGCCTTATTGTCCATCCATATCCTGTGCCTTCCGAGTCCCGCAGTCGTCTTTGGCAATGTGCAATTCAGCTGCTTCAGCAGCGTTGCCCGTTGCTTCGCTGAGTTGTGGCTTGCTGCTATGTTCCGCTCACATGCCTCGCTGCTCTTCTGCCTTACAGTCCATCCGCATGCTGTGCCCTCCGAGTCCTGCAGTCGTCTTTGGCGATATGCAGTTGAGCTGCTCCAGCAGCATTGCCTGGTGCTTCACTGAGTTGCTGCCTGCTGCAAGGTCCCGCTTGGGGCCAGTTTGCCTTCAACATGGGTCAACGGGTTCATGACCCAAACCGTCAATACAGGGATTCCTGCAGATTGTCGAGGGTTCAGCCTCCTGATGAGTCCATGCAACTCCGACAAAAGTTACAAAACTAACAGACTGATCGAGTATTATGATCACAATGATGATAACGATGACGGTGACGATGACGATGCTGCTGCTGCTGCTGATGATGATGATGATGATGGGCCCATTTTCCAGTACGTGCAACCAACTGATAGGGCAAAGCTATCACACTGCAGGATCTCGATGGGGGGAGGGAATGCTCATACCACCCCCAGGGTAGTGGGGTCTTGCAGGATGGGAGGGGCAGGATTTCGATGGGGGAATGCTCATACCACCCCCAGGGTAGTGGGGTCTTGCAGGATGGAGGGGATAAAGGACACAAGAAGGGTAGACAAACCAAATAAAGAAGCAACGAGAATCGATGATAGCAATAATGGTGAGCGAGCTCACCTCTTGATACCACCTTCCAGATGACGATACTCACTGACCACATTAGTTCCTGTCCCATCGTCCAGGTAATGGTAGTGGATAGTCCCCCTCTTTGTGCCATATATGAGCAGCGAGTGAGTCAAAGCAACGCAAGTCACATCGTTTGCTACACCTTTCTCTGGAAAGTACTTCGATTCGACGTCATCTAACTTAAAGCTTCTTGTGAATTTTCCTTCTTCGGCTCCCTCCTTCTTATTGGGAGGATTCAACGGGAGATCGCCCTTGTAGAGGCCAATCGGATGCAATTCCACTCTTCCCTCTGAGAGAACTGCAGCGTACCGCCGGTTCAATCGTATCTGCAAGTTTCGAGTCAAAAAAAAAACAGACCTCATCTCTCAGACAAAAGGTGCTACAACAGGCCTAAAAGCAACGGACCTGGCATTAAACGACCAGTACTTGGGCACTGCGCGCCGCGCCGGCCGCACCTTTTTTGAAGCGGCGCGGGCTGTCGATACGATTTATCTACGGCCCGCCGGTAGCGAAATTCTCGTAGCGTTAACGCTAAGGCGTCGCCCAAGTACTGGTGGTTTAACTAGGTCCGTTGGAACACCCACCCATTAACTGTTGAAATGCAGACCGGAGTTCGGATCCAGATGCACATAGATGAATGGAGTTTGTGAATTCCTCTGGCCCGTCAGTTTGACAATGATATCTCAAGGCTGTTGCCCTTTAAAAAGGGGAAAAAAAAAGAAACAGGCCTAAACTCTGGGACATACCACCCTTGCAATCGTATGTGCAAATCTCGCGCCAATAATCACACGCAATGCCACCTTTTCTTTTTCTTTTTTTTTTTTCTTTTTTTTTTTTCTTAAAGCCCAGGTTGCCACCCGTGAAGAGGCCAATCGAATGTTTTTTTCTCTCCCCCCTTCCTCCCCCCCCTAACAAAAGGCCCAGTGCCCAAGGCTTTATTAGCGAACCGGGAATCGGGCCCGGCATCCCTCACAACCAGATGGCAGCCCACCGGCCTGGACAAGGCACTCCGGGCAAGTCCAAACTTGGCAGCCAAAAAACGATAACGATCCACGGTGACCAACAAGCAACTGCAATTCCTCAGGCCAACAGAGGAGAAGGCATTCAAAAACAAACCGCAACAGCCAGCCACCATTGTATACGAGAGACATGTCAAAAGGGGTTAGAGCGTAGAAGCCTCAGTCCGTTCGCAATTTATACAGAACAGAGCGAACAAGAGAGGACTTTCGGAGAACCTGACACAATACCGAACTACGAGCAAGCAGATATACAGGCTGCCACGAAGAGCACAACGCCAACACCTACTACTAACAAGTAACGAACCAGCTACTTGTATGTACATAGAACCCAGGCTGCTGCTAGCGAGCCAACTATTGAACGAACGGCAGAACTCTTTCTCGAAGCAAAAAAAGAATAACAGCTGTCAATCTGTACAAACGGGGGTAACGGCGAAAAAATACTCCACCTTTGCTACCCTGCGGGCCTGCGCAAACCCAAGGAGAGATCCTGAGAAGCTATCCGCCTATCAGAACCAAGCTGCGACTCAGCGAGCAGGCTGACTAATGTACAGCCAAGAAGAGCACAACGCCACAATCCCAGCAGCACCTACTAACAAGTAACAAACCAACTACTGTCTTCACCCGAATAGAGCGCCCGGTCATTCCCACTGCATCTGGACTGACGGCTGAGCCAAATGCAGCTATAATGCCCGGGCGTTTTATTCGGGTGAAGACGGTAGTACCTGTATGTGCAACCCACCAGGAGAGAAGTATACCAGGTCCACAAATAGACAAACGGAAGCAAATGACAGCTGTCAATCTGTACAAACAGGAGGAAGGACTGCCACATTTGCTAACCCGCCCAAACCCCGGGGACGATGCCCCACAAGAGCGAACCACAGGGAACAGTGACCCCCCGTTTCTTATCCCAGCACTGCAAATCGCAGTCCAGGGCAGCAGGCCCTCAAACGAAGAACGAAGAGAAGAGAACCGCAGGTCCCGGCGGGCTCCTTGACTTGAGTTCGACTCCTCCTGCTTTGGGAACTGCAGCGTTTCCACTACCTGCTCAGCCATCTTTGCAATTTCAGGCCAGGCCGAAACAGGCCTAAACTCTGAGACAAAAGGCGCACCCTTCTGAATATTGTCCCCGAAAGTCCATTCTTTTAAGCCACCAGTACTTCCTAGAGTCGTGCCCGCTAACGCGTCTCAATTTTAGGAAACGTACGGGCTACTACAGGAGCGCCCAAATCACAATCACAATATTTTACTTCAAAAGAAAATACATTACTATCTTATCAATCTAATTCATCCGACCAGAAACGTTTCTACTCTATTTGTTTCCGCGGACGATAGCTGGGCCAAGTACTGGTGGTTTAAGCTAGCACAAGCTCGATGAGAAGTGCAGGAAAGATGGCAAGAAGTCACGTCGCAGAATAGACTGGAAAATGACGAGATAGACGTGCAAGAAAACACTTGAAACAGGTTTAATTTTGTTCCCAACAAACCCAAGAACCACCGACGATCCACAATCCACCTTCCGTCAGCTCGTCCTATTGCCGTGATGACGACAACAGGCTGCACCGAACGTTAGACCTCAAAGGGATTAGTCCAACATACATCTAGTACCTAGTTATAGTCCGCGTCCACGAGTAAACCCCGCAGTGAAACCCAAGGATCAAAAATACCACAGCGCTACCGTATCCAGGGTATCCAACGATCGTCACTTGGTCCCATTGGCAAACAATTGGCCCCACAAAGTCTACTGCCAGTGGTTGTTGGTTCGAAACCTTTGAAACCGCGTACCAGACGTAGACCCAGGGCGAAGGCACCAGGTCGTCATTTCGAATCCCGTTGCTTAAACTGCCAGTTCGGTGGACCCTACTTCGCTGAACCAACCTTGGCCTACCCAGCCTGACTGTTTGGGGCTACAGGGTCACAGCAAGGGGGTGCGAAAACATTTGCATTCCGTTTGCGCGGCTTCTTTTTTGCATGGCTACGCCGGACCCGGACAGCTCATGTCCGGGGACCGGACGCATGTCCGGTCGGGTCCGGCGCCCAACTTCTGGACGCATCCGGACATCTGGACATGCATGGTTCAGGACGGTCCGGACCGGTAAGCAGGTCCGGAAATGTCCGGACCATTAAAAAAAAAGTATGTTATGCAGAATAACAATGCAAACCCCTTTTGCCTCTCAGAGCCATGTCAGAATTCCTTTTTTTTTTTTTTTTTTTTTTTTTTTTYACTCACGAGACTCCCATCCCACCACTCCTCTCGATATATATCTCCTGGCGCACCCCCACTCCATTTCTATCTTACCTCATGCGAGGAACATCACTCTCTACTGGAGCAACCTGACCAGACAGCGGACGCAGGCACCGATGCTGGATGAGCTCCCCCATTCAGCCCCAGTTGAGGCACTAGCGTACAAGCCTCGTTATACGGGAACCTCGGGAGCTAGGCACATAGTTCTCAGCTAGTCCCGTGAGTAGTGAGGGCGCTCATAGGCAGTGTCTAATGGTCAACTAACCAAGGTCTTAACCTATGAGCCCCTCTAAGCACTAACCTAGCACAGCTCAGATCATATATGTTTACTGTTAGTTGTTGAGTATGCTGGTTGTTATGTGAGCTAATGTGATATCATAGTCTATGTGGATGTGTGTGGTTGCTTTCTGCTACTGATGAGCCTTGCTTATGTCTGTTCGTTAGGGAGAATCAACCAGTGGTAATGGTGGAGACCTCGACCGTCGTCTAACAACTACCCCCAACCTACCTCTGATAACCCACCACCCCGAAATGGGTCCACAGACATTGAGAGTAGGACACACCTCTTGCTTCGACATTGGTTTCCCTACAAGGCAACCCTCCCCACCATAGGACTGCCACGGTATCACCATGCACCCAACCAACCCCTTACTACTCACCTGCCCAAGAGAGTAGCATCCATCCCACATCAACTTTCCCGCAGGAAAGGCACACGTCCCCACCCGAAACCATGTAGAGGATCATCCCTTAGCTGATATGATGAATGAGCATAGTCGGAGTCGAACTCAGGACCTCCAAGTTAGTATATCAGAGCTCTACCCACTGAGCTATTGAGGTCGCTAGTCTGTAAGGGTGCTATGCCAGGCTTGGGACAAGTACGTGGGGTGCAACCTACACCAACCAATCGTGCTCAGGGGAAGTTGTGGGCCGACAAAGTCGAACCCACAACCTCCCCGTTGCAACACCGGAGCTCTGCCCACTGAAACCATGTAGAGGATCATCCCTTAGCTGATATGATGAATGAGCATAGTCGGAGTCGAACTCAGGACCTCCAAGTTAGTATACCAGAGCTCTACCCACTGAGCTATTGAGGTCGTTAGTCTGTAAGGGCGCTATGCCAGGCTCGGGACAAGTACGTGGGGTGCAACCTACACCAACCAATTGTGCTAGGGGGAAGTTGTGGGCCGACAAAGTCGAACCTACAACCTCCCCGTTGCAACACCGGAGGAGCTCTGCCCACTGAGCTACCACGTACTTGCTTACCAACTGAACGTCTCGAAGGTAAGACGCCAAGCATGCCACAGGCACCATCGTGGGGGCAATGGAAGTCGAACCCACGACCCCCTGAGTGCCGCTTGAACGCCTTACCAACTGAGCTACACCCTACACCCAACACCCAGTTGGCAGGGACCAGTGGGCTGGTTCTCTGGGACCAGTGCGCTCTTAAGTCTAGGGCTGGTTCTCGGAGAGCTTTTGTTATTTTAGTGAATGCGAAAGCAAAGCACATTAACAGGGACTAAAAAAAAAAAAAAAAAAAAAAA